ATACGGCCGTATTCTTATCTGGTACAAGGTACAGGTAGGTGAAGGAAAGCTTTGAGATCAGGGACATATCTTCAGGTTAAACCTATCGTTTAAATGTCCATAAAAGGTGAGGAGTTGCCTAGTAAGATCAGGGTAAGAATTTCAGTATAAAATAAATCAGAATCTATGAAAGACAGTTAAGAATATGACAAATCTTTTGGTCGTAGGTGAGAGAAAGCTCTGAGATCAGGGACATATCTTCATGTAAAACCTATCTTTTGAATCTCCACAACAGGTAAGGAATTGCCGAGTAAGACCAGGGTAATAATTTCTGTATAAAATAAATAAGAATCTATGGAAGACAGGTTGGAATAAGACGAATATTTTGGCCGTATTCTTATCTGGTACAAAGAACAGGTAGGTGAGAGAAAGCTCTGAGATCAGGGACATATCTCCATGTTAAACCTATCGTTTAAATATCCATAAAAGGTAAGGAGTTGCCGAGTAAGTCCAGGGTAATAATTTCAGTATAAAATAAATCAGAATCTATGAAAGACAGGTTGGAATAAGACGAATATTTTGTCGTATTCTAATCTGGTACAAAGCACAGGTAGGTGAGAGAAAGCTCTGAGATCAGGGACATATCTTCATGTTTAACCTATCCTTTAAATGTCCATAACAGGTGAGGAGTTGCCTAGTAAGATCAGGGTAAGAATTTCAGTATAAAATTAATCAGCATCTATGAAACACAGGAAGGAATATAGCGAATATTTTGTCGTATTCTCATCTGGTACAAGGTACAAGTAGGTGAGAGAAAGCTCTGAGATCAGGGGAATATCTACATGTTAAACCGATCATTTGATTCTCCATAAAAGGTAAGGAGTTGCCGAGTAAGACCAGGTAATAATTTCTGTATAAAGTAAATCAGAATCTATGAAAGACAGGTTGGAATAAGACGAATATTTTGTCGTATTCTAATCTGGTACAAGGTACAGGTAGGTGAGAGAAAGCTCTGAGATCAGGGACATATCTTCATGTTTAACCTATCCTTTAAATGTCCATAACAGGTGAGGAGTTGCCTAGTAAGATCAGGGTAAGAAATTCAGTATAAAATTAATCAGCATCTATGAAAGACACGTAGGAATATGACCAATATTTTGGCCGTATTCTTATCTGATACAAGGTACAGGTAGGTGAGAAGAAGCTCGAAGATCAGGGACATATCTTCATGTTAAACCTATCTTTTGAATCTCCATAACAGGTAAGGAGTTGCCAAGTAAGATCAGGGTAATAATTTCAGTATAAAATAAATTAGAATCTATGACAGACAGGTTGGAATAAGACGAATATTTTGTCGTATTCTTATCTGGTACAAGGTACAGGTAGGTGATAGAAAGCTCTGAGATCGGGGACATATCTTCAGGTTAAACTGATCTTTTTAATTTCCGTAAAAGGGAAGGAGTTGCCGAGTTCGATGTCGAATTATTAGCTGGTACAAGCTACAGGTAGGTAGGAAAACCCTTTTAAGATCATGGTAATAATTTCAATCTAAAATAAATCATCAGCAATGAATGACATGTAGGATTATGATTATTTACATCCAAATTAGATGCTTTCTTTTAAAATAATTTGCTGTAAATGAATGCATCATATGAATACCTAATAAACAAGATGTGTTTGTGTAGCACTGATGCCCCCATATGGCAACATAGCAAATATTAAGCTTTTTTTAAATGCAAATTTAAATAATAGTTACCAAAAATAAGGTATTCTCAACGGAAAACAATTGTGAAATTTGTGAAAATGTTAAAGGTTTTTTTATAAGTACAAAAATCTCTAAGGTCAAGGCGAAAATGTCAATGTAATTGGTATCAAAATGAAAGGTCTTGCCACAAAGAATTCTTATATAGAGTATGAAAGCCCTAACCCTAACCGGTCAGAAGTTATGACCTAGGTTATTTATTAAAAAGAAGGTCAAACTCCAACGTCAAGGTCAAAGGGTCAATGTTCTTGGTATCCAATGAAGTAACTTCTCACAAGGATTAAATATTTTAAGTATGAAAGCACTAGCCATAATACTTAAAAAGTTATGGTCAATGTTTGCTTTTTTAAAGTAGGTCAATCTTAAAGGTCAAAGGGTCAAAATTCTCGGTATCCAATGAAGTAACTTCTCACAAAGATCAAGTATTTGAAGTATTTGAAGTATGAAAGTCCTATCCCCTACCGTTCAAAAGTTATAGCCAAGGTTAAAGTTTCTTCACAAGTACGGAAATCTACAAGTTCAAGGTCAAAGGATCAAGGCTGTTGGTATCAAATGAAAGGTCATTCAAAAAAGATTACATATGTGAAGTATGAATGTCTTGACATCTACTGTTCAAAAGATATGGCCAAAGTAAAAGTTTATAATTTTCATGACAAATGGGTCAAACTGCAAAAAATTAATATAAATAATCCAGAGCTAATATCAGCCTTTCAGTGCTGAAACAATTGTTTAAAAAGGATGACTCAAAGATCTTTAAAATAAAAAGTCGGTGTGACATTCCACCTTAAAGGTTTATGAAGAGTTATCTGCAATTGATGAAAAGAAGAAAATTTATTATTTCTCAAAGTATCTTAACTTAATAAAGATATAGTTTATTCAAATATTTACAAAGATATTTGTTTGCAAATCATATAACTTTTTTACAATATCTTAAATAAAAACATGTGCAGCCCATAGAACTTCAATTAATGTAAAATTCAAGGTGCAATTAATTGGACAAAAATCAAAGTTTTGTACAATTCTCAGTGAAGCATTATTTGATACCATCTTCAAAATTTTATCAAGATTTAAACTATCAGACCATTCACTTATTAGGTACGTAAAATGGTCGCTATACATTATAACCTAAATGCTTCGGAATTCTCGCGGGGCTGCCCTTCAATACATGGTCATTAGATAAGAAATGAAATCTAGTAATTTGGACTTTATAATTAGTTTAATTAATTTTTTTTATATTTCATTCATATTTTACAACAAGTATTAAATAAACATCACTGCCCTAAGTGAAGAAATATAAATAAAGTAAGCACAATGTCATATATTTGTACTTTGGATCACATGAGAAAAAAAATTCACTCGAATTATCTAGTGTGAAATATCAGGCATACCAGACCCAGAAAAGTAGTAACTGCCGAATAGCGCGAAATGTAGGATTTGTAGATTTACGTATCCCTTGCTCTATTGCGTTAGGATTATTATTATGCCTCGTGGGGGAAAAATCTTGAGTTTTGTGAGAAATTAAGTCTTATCGCTAAGCTGGATATTCCTGTGAAACAATACCAGATTTCTTATTAGTGGTTGTTGTATAGGTATAAGTTTCTAATTAGAATAAGAAAATATATTATTTCTATCTCACAACCTCAGTATAATAGTCATTCAATTACACTGGCGGATTAGTTTAGAGGTTAGTGCACCCCACCCCACCCCCACCCCGGTCCCCTTTTTCTGTCGAATATATACATATGAAATAATAATTCAATAATTTTTAATTTTAATAAAATGTAATTTACCAATCGAATAAATATTATCACAAATATTTATTATATTTCTGTATGTTTTAACACTGACAAACTCTTAACTCTGATAAACAACAGCATCCACCCTTTTTCCCCTTTCAAGATTCATGGATTCTCCACTGAAATCTGCCTCGCCGTGTGAAACAGTAATAAGAATGTCTGCTTTCAAGTCGCTGATTAAGGAGATAATCATTGTGTTGCAGGTTTGAATTCATCTGAAGGACGTAGAGACCGGTCCTCCAATGAGACCGTATAAACCGAGGTCCCTTGTCGCTGGCACGAAAAAGATCCCTCACTGTGCAGGGGACCAGGACCCCCTTTTCTTTACAATATAAGCATAAGATTTAATAATTCAATAATTTTAGTGTGGTTGTGGGCTCCTTAACTCTGACAAACAACCGCTCCACCCCTCCCTGTCGCTGTTGGTGCTGGCACGAAAAAGGTCCTTCACTGTTCAGTGACCCAGAGTGTCGAGCAGCTTTCCAACGGCAATTGTTAGTGTTCCCATGAGTGAAAAATTGGAGCGAGGAACTTATTGCAGCATTTAAACACGTTTGGTTTTCGTTTCTTACAGGACCACATTTAACGATAGATGCCTGTCTCCAGTAGGTAATACCCCCCCCCCCCCCCCCCCCCCCCCCCCCCCCCCCCCCCCCCACGTGCATTCTCCATTCACAATACACAGTACCAAACTGCATTAACCGAAATACAAATAAATATATAAAAGGAAAATATATCAAGCACTATACCTCAACTCCTTTTATTTTTCATTAAAATCAATCCACGCTAGTCTATAATTTATCCATAATTTATATTGATAAATTGTTTATATTTACTGACATTTCCATTTTCCAGCATACGGATTTATATATAATAACCCCATTGTAAATTACAGATGAAATAAGAAATAAATTACCAACCGAATATGTATTATATATTATTAAAGAATATTTATTTTATTTCTGTTTATTTTAATGCATGTGGAATATTCCATGTACGAGTGAATAGGTCTCTAGTGATGACGTATTACGCATCTTATGAACGATAACTCATTATATGAACGATAACTCATGTTCGACTTCTTTTACGCCACATCTTCTAGTCATTACCGGTTACGAACAGTAATTTGGAGATTTTTTTTTATTTTCAACAATGGAAGATCGCAAATGAAAATGGTTTCGTCATACAGCCTTCAATGTCTTATCTATTCAAATTCCGACTATATTTCACCAGAAAAATATCCATATTGACCTCGGCTTCGCCTCGGTCAATATGAATATTTTTTCTGGTGAATAACAAACCATATTCAACACCAAAAGAGTCCATAATTGTATATTATAATAATTATGTACATTAATATACCCAATGTGTATTAGGGAATGACCCAAGAATTCAAGCAACAGTAGTCCCCTATGAACAATCATGATTGCACAGTTCTTCAATCGCATCAAATGATTACTCACCATTACAGGCTTTGCCACTAAAACCAGATCTACATTTACAATCTCCCTCAGCTATACAGAGAGATGTGTTCAGCAAATATTCACTCTCACAGCATATATCTATAATGATGTTGTTTTCTGAAACATGTAGCATTAATTGATGAGAGAAAAAGAAAGCAAATATCAAGTGGATGATAAGTAACCTTGAAACAATAATGTTATAGAAACAATGGGACCGTATTGCATATATTGTGGAATTTGTAAGAGAAAAACTAAGAATTCAAATATAAGTATTCATACTTATCATGTCTTTTCCAAGTGACAGTTCAGCGTCGTCGTTAGCGTTACATCCTTCCTTTAACTGCTCACAGGTCAGCATGAAGGATGGTAAACAGTTTAAGGAAAACTCCGAAAAGCAAATATCTAGAAAGAAAAATGTAATATATCAATGCAAACTACATCGCAATTTTAGAAAAGAAGAATGAAATCTGCATAAGATATTGCGCCTGATTTGTAATTATTAAATGAACTTTTGAGTTTAAGTAATGTTCGTTTACACTTTTTATTTCATTCACACTGTATACGAGGGACGTTCAATAAATAATGTCATCGGTGCTCGGAAAGAAACAAAAAACGCTTTTCTATGATTTAGTCTTAATGATTATACTAAAATGCTATCTTTAAAATAAAACACATGTCCGTAACAATTTCATTCAATTTCTGATTGTTTTAGAACACATTTTTGAATATAGCCCTTCGTATACTGGAATATGGCAGATCCTATGATTTCCTGTACTTTTTTTCTTTCTGAAAGGTATTTTTCTAAAGTTTGGTAAAGAAACAAGTCAAAGGTTGAGGGTGCTGGCCAACATTGTTGGTGTGAAAAAACATTAACTTTCTTTTTATACCCAGAAATTCTTTACTCTTCATGGCCTCTGTGTTTGGACGCTGTCATGATGAAATTAAATGTAGTGAATTCCTCATTCTGGCTCATTCCTCTCACAAACATTTTACTTTTTTGCAAAACTTTTGATTTCCGAACTCCTCCAGAAATTAAAATTACTCCCCCAATATGAATTTGAAAAACAAGACCACTGTTATTTAAGAAAGTAGCATATTTAAGATCTTCCGTTTCCAACGGAAGACCTTCTACTGATTCGTTTGTTTCTTTTCCACTATTATTATTTTTTTTTTCTTACCGATTTTGTGCAGGCGATTTCTCGAGAACGCCTCAACAGATTTTCATGAAACTTTCAGCAATGATGGCAAATCATATGAACTTAAGGCATTTTTTTTATTTTGCCGTCGTCACTTCCGGTCGCGAGATACGGCCAAATTTCTTTTTTTAAAGTGTCATTTTGTCCGGAAGTGTTCTCAAAAACGGTTGGAGATTGAGTCTTGAAACTTTCAGGGATGATAGATTGTGACAGGCTCTACTGAATTCTGTATAAAGTTTTAGTTGCCGTCACGTCCGTTGTCCACCGGAAGTAGTTTAAAAATATGCAAAATTTTATTTTTTTCTTTTTTAAATGTTTCTTATGGAGGCAAATAGAGTGTCTCGAGTAATATTATGTCCACCAGAAGTTATTTTTCCAAACCGGCAGTAGTCCAAAAAATGAGCATTTTTCATCGAAATTATCAGGGATGATATTCCTTCACACTCAGAGAGGATTTATAGGTCATTTTAAGTACTTCCGGTCACACCGGAAGTGAATAATAAAGACCGGAAGTTGTCTGTTGTCTGAAATTTACAGATTTCACTCTTTAATGTGTTCTCACGTATTTTGAGGAATTGATATGAACATTTTTTTCCATTTAAAGTTGTTTTATGATCATATCAAAAATCGAACGGAAGACCTACTCGTTGCTCGCAACGAGATCTCCTCTAGTCTTTTTAAACTGTTTTTGTGCTCTTGCAATTCTTTGTTCTTTTCAGGCCTTTGCTGTTTTTTCAAGTGTATCTCATCGTAAATTTGTTTTGAGGATTTAAAGCAAAATGGATTCAAGTTTCAATATCTGTTTGAATTTCAGAAAAACATGGATAAGTACATTTTTTTTAATTTTTTAAAATAATTTTTAGATATTCCTACACGCTGCGTTTTCACTCATTATTCAAAATATTGGATGACCTTTGAATATTAAACTTTTTACTATCAAATTTTTCTTTAAAACAGTTTGTGCTACCTACAAAATAATGTATATCAAATGTGCTATGTGTCTTAAAGTAAATCAAACATACTCAGTGATAATTTGCTAAATTTTCTCGAATTAACATTGGTTGTTGTATGTCCTTGTTGCCAAGCATGATACATATTTTTGATGCCCATTATATCATTTTTGCTTATTGAAATCCACCTGTTCATGTGTGTATAAAACAGGCATTGGTTGCTGTAAATTTCACATTTTTCAGTTAATATATCTTTGGGATTCTTAACATGTTTTACAACAGCTTTAATGAAGAGTTTATTTTCACTCTTATTTACTGATGCTTGACTATTTATTTTAAATGCAGTGTTCCAATAGCCCTTGTTTTCCAGCTTCTCACAATAAAAAATTGTGATGAAAAGTTGTCACATAAACTGTTATTCATTCATTAAAGATTCAATAATTAGAGAAAATCAAGCTTAATGGAAAATGATTTCTATTTTGTATGTCATCGAGGGGATGACATTATTTATTGAACGTCCCTCGTAGTTTGAAGAATTATACAGCATGAAACATGTCTATTTTCGGACAATTTACACAAATGAACATTTTCTTAACATATAAATACTAGTAATTCAACTTTGGAAAATGGTTTGACAATTGATTAGGGGTCCGAAAAGAAGGATTGCTTTATTAAGGAGTTCAAAATTGTGTTCTAAGTAATTCTAGGGCATATATTCCTCTGTAGAGAAAGCAAATATTATTAAAATGTTATTTAAAAACTTCTACATGAGAAAAAAAAACGTAGAATTTCGAAAATAGATACGTTTTATCAATCATTTTAAAATCAAATATAGTGAGTCTAATACACATTTTTATAATAAAAGACACAGCAGAGTAAGCCATTTGGGTGTTTTACTGACTATAGACGAAAGTAAAATTTTCCACTATAATATAACTTACTTGCTGATGAGCATGTTCCATTTTCATTGTCGCAAATCTCAGTGGCATCACATGGGCAATTTTTACTACAATCATCCCCATAATGAAAAGGATCACATCCTATGAAAACAATAGTTAAGATAATATTTGTTCGATCAAACTGAAATTGGTAAGGACCACATTTATCAACACAATAGAATTCTAAAATTCTTTTTTACGGATAAATAACGCAACAAGTTGTCTTCCGAATTTCAAATTTATTTTATTACTGATAGGTGTCTCTTTCACTTTAAACATGATACGTTATTAGTTAAGCAATGTTATGTTAGACAACGCCACATAATGTTGGTGGGAAAAAGGGAAATGTTACCTTATTTTTTAATATAATTTTAGAAAAAACTTTACAAATATACAAAACTATGTAAAATATATGATCTCGAGGTTAACATGATTTTCAGCAGATATTAAAGATAATATTTTTCTGCGAGAGTGGCTTCTTGAAAATAAATTCTTTGCGATTATTGTGATGTGACGTTTGTTCTTACCTTGCTCGCATTTCTCTCCAACCCAGCCTGTTTTACATTCACAATCCCCATTTGAGGAGTTACAATACAGGGAATGGTTCCTAAAACAGTCACACGTATGGGCACAATCTGGTCCGAAATTATACATCTCACAACCTGTTGACAAGAACATCAACTCAGAGAAATCAAGAGTGTACTGTATCATATTATACATTGTACTCTATCATGTCACAAATTGTACTCTATCATGTTATATGTTGTACTCCATCATGTAAAACATTGTACTCCATCATGTTAAACATCATTGTACTCTATCCTATTTTACATTGTATTCTATCATATTTTGAAATTCTTCAAAATCATATGTTGGTTAGATTATTTTTGATATTCAACAGAGCCAAAATGAATTTGAACTACCCTATAGATATTGGATTCGGAAACTTCATAAAAATCCTTACAAACAAAGATACATTGCGGGTTCCAGTAAATGTTCAACCAAGCCTCTTTCGTTACTCCTCACTAAGATATTGACAATAGTGAAGGATAAACTTCAAAAGTACTGTGCAGCAATATAGTTAAGAAGTGGTGTGAATCAGATGTGGATACACAAAAATTCTAAAGAACTCGGACAATTTGAAATAACAAGATTTTACCAAAATCAACAGCTTAAAACCTACGATTTTTCAACTTTATACACAACCATTCCCCACAATAAATTAAAGACCAAGCTATTTGATATCCGTGACAGCTGCTTTTTCAATATAAATGGACCTTGTAAATTTACTTACCTGGTCATTGGTCATTTGCAAAATGATTTTGTTAAAACACATTCTGATTGCACACATAAGTACTCTGAAGTTGACATCAAAAAAGATGCTTAAGTTTCTGATTGACAATATCTATGTGGTTTTTGGAGACCAGGTCTGCCAACAATCTACTGGAATTCTCATGGGTACCCATTGCGCTTTGTTATAAACAGACCTATTTTTGTAATCATATGAAGCAGAATTTGTGCAAAATCTTATGCGTGAAAAGAAGAAAACACTTGTTGTGGCCTTCAACCCGACATTTAGATATATCGACGACGTATTGTCAATTAAGAATGGTAATTTCTATTCCTACGTCGATACGATATATCCTGGAGTGCTTGGGATAAAAGATACCACAGAGTCTGACAGTTCTGTTTCATATTTTAATATTTTACTTGAAATCTAACACTCAAGCTATATGATAAAAGTGATGACTTTAACTTTTCCATTGTCAACTTCCCTCACTTATGCAGCATTATACCTTCATCACCTGCATACGGAGTATATATATCTCAGTTGATTCGATACGCAAGAGCATGCTCTACGTATGAACAATATCTAAAACGGGGTAAACTATCAGCAAGCAAGTTGATGAAACAAAAATATCAGCAGTCTCGTTTAAAGTCATCATTTCGTAGGTTCTATGGTCGATACAATGACCATGTAAACAAATACAATTAATCATTAAGTCAAATGCTGACTGACGTTTTTAATACTAATTGTTAGTCCATTACTTATACATTGAATCGACGACGGATTTTTCCGTTATTTCCCGATCATGACAAGGAGCATACGGCCGGTATGACCGGTCAGCAGGGGATGCTCATTCCTCCATGTCACCTGATCCCACCTCTGATGTTTTAAAGGTCCTTGTTTGCTCTGTTCCTATTTTTATTGTTTTATAGACTTTGATATTGAATACTTTTCTTTATTTCCATATCCTTTATTATATATTGTACTTTATCATGTTATACACTGTACTCTATCATGTTATACATTGTACTCTATCATGTTATACATTGTACTCTATCATGTTATACATTGCACTTTATTATGTTATACATTGTACTTTGTCAAGTTATACATTGTACTCTATCAAATTATACATTGTACTCTATCATATTACATAGTGTAGTCTATTGTATTTTAAACTACAGAAGTTATTATACCCCTGCTTGAAAATTTGGAGGGTATACAGTGATCCGTCTGTCTGTACGTCAATCCGTCCGTGTGTTACGCTTTTGGATACCCATCTCTTATCCACAACTCCTCTTCTTCCGCTGAATGAAATTTAATGATACTTTTACAGAATCTTTGTTGCATGGTGTGATTGTGCACCTATCATTTTTCTTTTTGATCGGACACATATTTTTGGTTTCCCATTATAGCAAAAGATTGACACGGCCATTTTTTTTCTTTGATATTGAAGGGTACCCATTTCTTATCCACAGCTCCTCCTCTACGACTATAAATAAAATTTGTTGATATTTTCACAGATTCTTTATTACATAAAGCTTATGTACACCTTTTATTTAACTTTTTTATGTATGACATTTTTTGTCGGGTATCCAAAAGCAAAATTTTGATTTTGCCACTATAATCAATCATTTGAGAGGCATGAGGTATCATTTAATGAGCTCATTGCTCAGAGTACCTATAGTTACATGTATTATACTGAACTTGACTATGAAAAGTTTCATCTCCTTGATCACTACATACAATATGTACAAAGGGTTCACGGCGGGGGGTGACGGTCAACGGGAAATGCCCATTACATAAAATATGTCATCAGAGTGATAAAACAAGTGACGCATTTACATTGAACACTTGCCATATTGCAAAGTGCAACTATATGGATTTTACTTCATAGTCACTTTGAACAGAATCATGTGAAATATAATGAAATCTTACCATATATTTCAGAAAGCAAAACAAAAAGTGTAACTGAATATTTTTTTTTATCATGCAAGTATAATATATAAAATACGTAAATAAAAATAGAATTCATGTAAAAAATTATAAACATACTAGTAAACTTATGAAGTACTTAGACAGGTCCTAGGATTGTGTCTTAAATATGCTTAAGACCCTTCTTAGATATTCTGTCCTCAATAGCAACTTTTAAGATTAAATGGAATTGGATGCATAACAGATGTGTAGGTGTTGAACTCAGTATATTTAGACATATTTCCCATTTATTACTACATGTATTAACATGTATTGGTGGGATGTGTTATCTCCCTCTGTTTTTACATACTGTAGTTTATAAAACATCAATTTAAAAAATTTATTTTGTAAAAATTATTTTTAAATAAAATCACTTCTCACCATAGACTTCAATGGAACTCTTGTTCATATTATATTTACATTTAGACTTTATCCTTGTTTCAATAAAAAAAATATTTTATTAAATAAGGTCATCTTTAAAATCAAGTCTGCTTGCCTTCTACCCCCTCAGGGAAAAATTATTGAGTCGGTGGGAAACTTTTTTTTTACCGAAAATGTCAACATATTTGTTAGCGAGAGAAGAGGAATAAAAAGAAAAATAATTGTGTGACCTGGGATAAAAAAAGGTTAATGTTGGGCAATTTTTAGTCATTCAGTCAGGAAAGGGCAACAAAACAATTTTTTAAAGATGCCTAATAAGAAATTAAAGCATCCAATTCAGGTGTATTTATTACTGAGCAAATCATTTTTGATCGAGGTTATAAAGCAATATTAACTTATTTGTAGTTTTATCTCAGACAAAGACATTGCAAATGTTGTTCTGATGATTGAATAAGGTAATTCCTAAACTGAATTGAACCAGTAGAAATAATCTTGTCCATTTGTCCATTTGTGATGTTATTACTATCAGGTGAGATTGAAATGCAAATAATAAAATTTATGAACAAAATTACCATGATCTCATTGGTTCTTTACAGTCTACAAAACCTGTATACATGTACTAACCTAAGGAACAGTTTTCACCTCTTTTCCCGCTCCTACAAAAGCATTTCCCGGACACTGGATGACAGACCGGATCTTGAAAGTTTGAACAGTTACAGGGTAGTGAACAATTAGGACCATAAAAACCACCATGACACTCTGAAATAAAATAAAGATATCTAAATCTGAGTCTGGTTTATCAGTTTGAAAAAATAAAACTGTCTGAGTTTCAACAAAATGTTTAAAAAATTAAATGATTTATAGGTCATTTTCTTATTACAAGTGATAATAGTCAACAACCTTATATTCCCATTTTCTCATACTGAAACTGCAAACAAACCTATAAGAGAACTTATTAATATACTGTAGAAGTACATGTACTTTTTTCCGCGTTGTATCAATTTATGCTATGTATGCATGTATGTATACATTCTCGGCGGAAATTTGTCCCATCATACTTAAAATACATGTAAGGCGTATATTGCCAGTCTAGAAAATCCGCTTAATTTTCTACCCGCGGTTTAAAAAGAAAGATTCCGCGGAATTATGACCCCGTGGAAAAAAGTACGTCTACAGTATAAAGAAAAATATCCATCAGCATATACACCTTCTTGACATATTTCCCCGGTCCATCCATTCACCGACGAGCAGTCACAATTTCCGGTCACGTGATTACAGGTAGCATTATTTTCACAAGAACATTCAAACTGGCATTTGTCTCCGTATTTTCCTGATTTACATGCTGAAAATATTGAATGAATTAAAGCAATTTAATCTCTGAAATTAACAAAAGAACATTCAGATTACAGAATGATATAATAAATCTTTAAATATTTATTTCCATATTATATTGAAATGATATTTGACAAACGTTCTGAACAATTATCCCCCATCCATCCCGGCGAACAAAAACAACTTCCATTTGCGTCACATCTGTGGTACTGTCCGGCTACACATGGACATGGTAGTGTGCAGTTCTCACCATACGTGGTAGAGTTACAAGGTACTGGAATTTATTAAAAACTGAGTTACGTTGAACGTTTAATGATTTACAATATACTTAGTAGATGAATAAAATGTGTATTTTCAACACAGTATATATCTTACAATATTTACATTTCAAATGTCTTCGTCCGAGATAAAATTACAAATAATTAATGTACTTTACATTGTATTTCTACATAAATGCACTGATTCATCAATATGCTTGGTTAAAAAAAATAACGTGCGGATCGGGACAAATAGAGACAGAAGTGGGGCTTAGAGAAAGTGGATTTGCGGACACAAGAGCATGTACGTATAAGAAATAACTGTCAGAATTTTTTGATTTTATGACGCTGATCAATCGATTGGGTTGCGTGATAATTTTATGCATAAACACCGTTTATAAAAAAAAGTTTATGCAAATTATCACGCAAGCCACTCGATTGATCACATCATGAAACAAAAACTTAAACAGTAATTCTTTAATCAAGGTTTAAGAATTCACAGAATTTAAAATTAACTATATTAATTTCTGCATTACATTTTTTTCTATTATGACAAGGAGCACACGGTGGGTGTGACCGGTCAACAGGGGATGCTCACTCCTCCATGGCACCTAATCCCACCTCTGATGTTTTGGAGGTCCGTGTTTGCTCAGCTCCTATTTTGTATAGTTTTATGGAATTTGATATTGAATACTGTTCGTTATCTCCATATCCTTCCTTCTAACCTCTCTGGGCTGCCATCTCTCAAATTTGATCGCATGATCAAGTATATATATATCAACATCTAGTCTTTTGTTACTTTTCATAGATTCTGATAAACATATTGATTTGATGTTTGTAATTAAGGATTATAAATAATAATAATAAAATTATCTAAAAAAATTATCACAAAAGGAAATTTGAAAAAAACTTACATTTTGTACATATGCCAGTGATGTTTTGGTACCCCTCACAACATCGAAAGGTCTGACGAGTAATGAAATTAATTGTTTTTCTAGTCTTCACACAGTTAAAATATCTGAAAATTTAAAGGTTGTGTTTAGTTTAAACAAATTATGCAATCGAATAGCATATTTACAGAAGTGAAATATACGAGGGTTGTCCCAGAAAAATGCGAACATTTTTTATATCTTTTGTTTTACTAGGACTATAAAGTTAAAAATTTGCATATATCATGATCAACATTTTTTGAATAACACTTAAAAATTTCAAAGAAATATCTCTATAAATAAAATTTTCCTCTTATGTAAAAGAATCTATCAAATTAGCTGTCGGCGCAACACTGACGACGTCAAAACGTATCTCGTAATGTATAACGAACAATATTCAAACTCAAGTCCAATGAACGATACAAAACAGCAGAAGAGCAAACAAGGCCCTCCAAAATATCGGAGGTGGGATCATGTGCCATGGAGGAGTGAGCATCCCCTTCCGACCGGACACACTAGCCGTGTGGTCATTGTCATGATTGGCAAAATCCGCCGTGTCTCGTCAATTCAGTGTGTAAATAATGGACTAACAATTAGTATGAAAAATATCAGTCAGCATTTGACTCAATGATAAATTGTACTAGCATTTCCTGACAAGGTCTTTGTATCGACCAAAGAATTTACGAGCGTATTTGCGCTAATTTTCACTTTTTTCCATTTTCCACACATAAATCTGCATATTTTGCACTTCAATCTGTATAGTTTCCTCTTTAATCTGAAAAATTTACACTAAAATATACAATTCTTAGCTCTTCAAAACCAAGAGTCAGTTTATTATTTTTTTCTCAACATTCCAAACAATTAAAATCAATTTAATCCATCATACATAAACTGGATCCCAAAACTCCTCACAAAGATACATTATTTCATGTAAGAATTGCTGTATATCTACATGTTCTATTCAGCCTCTTTCTTTACTCCTCACAAAAATACACAAATTAAGAAGAAACTTCGGAAGCAATGCAAAATAGTCTATTTGAGAGGTGGTGGTAATTATTATGTATCTTTAATATCTTAGTGTAGTTTACTTGCATGCCAAATGACTAGTATATTATAATCAGACTAAAACTGTATTTGGAGTAGAATTTTGAAAAGTATTTCATAAAATTTCTATTTTTAGTAATTATGACAACACCGTTCATCGCAATCAAAAATCAATACACAGAATTATGTATAGTCTACTTGTGTGCCAAGTTATATTGAAATCAGATTAAAACTGTATGAGGAGTAGCACTTTAAGGTGGCTCATTACATCCACAGTTTATCTTAGATTTCAATACAGCACCACTTATAATGTAGATGTCAAATATCCAGATGGGGGTATTAATATCATAAATATTTTTTCTAGAATTTTTTAGTTTTTGTTTTATTTTAGTGAAATGTTTTATTTCAGGTTTATTATTCGATCACAGAATTTCTGAACTTTCAGTGTCAAATGATGGGCATCTTCTTAAGACAAGTACACAAAGTGAAAATACCTCATAATACCTAATGATAATTTTATTAGAAAAAATAATTAATTTTCTCCTAGAAAACAATTAATGTCATTATCTTTTTAATCTATGCATAAAACATTTTAAAAATGTGTTCTGAAGAGACAAGGAATGTATTTCAATGAATTACATGTGTCAAATTGAATGAAGAAAGTTTAAACGAAATGAAAAATCCAATTTAAAAAATATTTGGTATAAAAAGTCCACTTTCAAGAGTTATCTTTCCTAATTAGCCAAGACTCAAAACACTATGGAACGTTTGACATTACATCTAAAATTCAGAATAAAGCTTTAAATTGCCAGAGTATACATTTAAATCAATAAAACAAATATATAAATGAACACCAACACAGTAAATAGCGCAATTAAATAAAATTTTAATTTCAACAAGGTTGTAGATTTTAACTCAAATTTCCTCCATACATACATGTCAGTGATTGATAGAGTTCACTGCATGCATGGCTATGAAATTGACATTACTTGTTTGGCGAAGATTTGACTGTTGCTTTCTTTTGTTTCTGCCTAAAAGCAATTCTTCTTGGTTTATGCATAACGAATCCGTTACTTTGTTTTCACTATTTACAACACCGCATGTTTCATCTATTTTTAAAGCGTTTTAAAGGTCAGGGTCATATTATAGAGGTACCTATACAACTCGTCCCCTGAGCAAACCGGTCGACACAATGGAGGTTTATTTTTTTGTGTAGTACGTCATCAAAAAGTGGTGTAATGAGCCTCCTTAAAAGTGTTTCACAGAAATTTATATTTTTAGTAATCATGGCAACACCGTTCATCGAAATCAAGAACGGATACATATAATATAATGTATCTTCGTGTAGTCTACTTGTGTACCAGGTTATATTGAAATCAGACTAAAACTACAGGAAGAGTACCAATTTAAAAGAATTACACAGAAATATCTATTTTTAGTAACCACGACAACACTGTTCATCGAAATCGAAAACCGATAGGCAGAATTATGTATCTTCGTGTAGTCTACTAGTGTGACAAGTTATATTGAGGTCAGATCAAAACTGTAGGAGGAGTAGCAATTTAAAAGTATTTCAAAGAAATTTCTTTTTTTAGTAACCACGGCAACACTGTTCATCGAAATCAAAAACCGATATACAGAAATATGTATCTTAGTGTAGTCTACTTGTGTGCCAAGTTAAATTGAAATCAAACCAAAACTGTAGGAAGAGTAGCAGTTCAAAAGTATTTCACAGAAAATTCTATTTTGAGTAACCACGGTAAAACCGTTCATCGAAATCAAAGAACCGATATACAGTATTATGTATCTTTGTGAAGTCTACTTGTGTACCAAATTATATTGAAATCAGACCAATACTGTAGGAGTAGCAATTTGAAAAATTGTTTACAGACAGACAGACGGACAACGGACGCATTACTATCGCATGAAACATTCCTAAGATTTATCCTAAGATTATTCCTAAGATTTTCCCTAAGATATGGCATAGGACGAAACTTAGGAACATCCTAAGATGTATCTCGACGGTTAATTAGGAACATCTTAAGTTAGGACATCCTAATTTACGATGAACTCTTGTTTCTTAAATATTTATAAATAAATATGAAATGTTGGAGACATATTTAGAGGGAAAAATTACATAACTTTAAAAAAGGAAATCCATCTACATGTACATGTGAACTCAGTATATTTTAAAGTTTGCAATTTTTTTTAATCATAAAATATTGTAAATTATGTTGCAAAGAGGAGGTTTGTGGGTAACACTTCTTATTTAATTATTTGCGTAAATCATCAGCTGAAGAATACAGAGACTGCTGACAAACAAGAAACTGTTGCTTATACTTGCAATGTGCAAAATCGTATGCATCACAACAAACTTAGGATGATCTTAGGTCAGGTTTTATGTTGTCCTAAAGTTAGGACAAACTTAGGAAAGTTCCTAAATTTAGGAAAACTTCGAGAAACTGACTTAAGACTAAAGGATATTTCCTAAGACGTTCTTAGGACACACCGTGGTCCTAAGATAGCTTCGTGAACATGCCTGCTGGTCTCTGACCAGTAGAGCTAATAAAAATGAAATTAAATTCGTAAATAAATATGCCTTGTCACTGGTCATTTGCAAAATCATTTTGTTAAAAATAGTTTAGATTGTACACACAAGAAATGAAAAGTGGATATTAAAGATACGCTTAAGCTTCATGGCAATAAATACTTGTAATCTTATTTTACATAAAATGGTTTGAATAATATTCATCATTGAACAAATCATACAAATTAATGCGTATAAATTATTATGTAACCTTTTTACAATTAAAAAAAAGATAATATTTGTGGTTTATGGGGTATTGAAAATCTAAATAGGCAATAATAATTCCTTGTATCAAAATCTCCAGAACTTAACCCATTTCAAGGCAATAATTTTAAGCTTTTCTAGAGAAATCATTTTCTAGATTTAAATGCATTTCCTGGGGTATTTATTGTAATTTTTGTACATACAAATGTATATATTTCTGAAAGCAGGTATTGTGTAGTTTTTTAAAATGATTTTAAAAATATTATTGCCGTGGCGATGACAATGAAATACAGCAAAATCATGCTAGATTGTCCAATTATTCAAGAATGAGTTTCATTCTGTTTATTTTTTTATTATTTTTTTTTTATTTTTTTTATTTTTTTATTTTTTTTTTTCATCTTTAAATATTCTTAAAAATTAAATTAAATTGTTGAAAATTATGAGCATGTTGTATATTTGTCGTTTTTAATCAATTTTAAGGATTTTTGGAGGGATGGGGTGGGGTTAGGGAGTAATTACTAATATTCAATTTTTTCCATTTATCCTAAGACTGTTAAAAAATGCTGAACCCCAAAAAACAACCCCGAATTGATTTAGACCATGGCAAAATTGTTCGCATAGTACAAAAATTTTTTAATCGGGCTTGCAAAAACCTTGTACAACCCATCAAAAACTTATCTGTATATTAATTAATCGTGATTATTTTCTCTTTTTAACACTGCAAGATTTTTTCTGATATTTGCAGTATTAAATAAGTTATGAATGTATGTTTATATTATACTCGTTTTTCACATCAGATGCGTAGAATTGCTGATATGTATGTTATTTATAACGAAATGAAAATCAGCAAATCACTAGAAATTGTCTAATCGTATTTAGAATTAAGGTCTTTATTGAAAATATCTACTTTTATATATATAACGAAATATATATTTAGAATATTAACCTAGTATGTAAACAAAAAATGACACAGCCCCTGTTTACATAACAAAGGTTTGGAGCTCTGAATCTGTCTTGTATCTCGATAACTGATACTCAAATCTTTGATGATCATTAGAATTATCTATTAAATATTTGTAATCACGGAAAATTAAATTTGGAGATTTTAGCTGAAACTGTGTCCACGTCCGTTTAAGTGCTGATCGGTCGAATGCTTCGTGTATTTTAAAATAATGAAAAAGTTAGGGTCAGTGAAATATTGCTCAAAATATGCAATTTTCTAGCTGCAGATCTATAGCGTTATGGTTATTTATTTTGTCTTTGACCATAACGCTACAGATCCTGTAATGCAAAAAAGGTGAAATTTACGGCGCAATATTTTTTGCGCGCTTTTGGGGAGAATTTCTCCACTTTAAAGCATTGGTCAATCAATTAACTTTCACTCCCTAATTCTAGACACATTTAAAAATAATTCAATAAATGAATAAAAAAGTTTAAAAAAACAAAAAATAGATATTAAATAAAAATGGTGAAGAAAGAAATTAAAAAAGAAAAAAAGGAATTAGTTATACATTAATAAAAAAAAATAGTTAATGAATAGATAAAAATCTATATAGAAATATTTAAGAAATAGTTAATTTAGCAATTCCTCTATCATAGATTATATTTTGTATATTTTGTATAAAGTTTTTACAGAAAAAAATTGTTGATAATTATCAAACCAGAGATAAATAAACAAAATGCAGTTAGTGATTAAATAAACAAAAGTGCCCTGTGATGTTTTGCCTAAGTTGGTATCTACTTAATAATTGATGTAATTAATGTATCCAGAAAGGAAATAATTGACATTAATTCCGTTTGAAATCCTAGGATTAAAGATCTTAAGATTAAAAATCTATATAGAAATATTTAAGAAATAGTTGATTTAGCAATTCCTCTATCATAGATTATATTTTGTATATTTTGTATAAAGTTTTTACAGAAAAAAATTGTTGATAATTATCAAACCAGAGATAAATAAACAAAATGCAGTTAGTGATTAAATTAACAAAAGTGCCCTGTGATGTTTTGCCTAAGTTGGTATCTACTTAATAATTGATGTAATTAATGTATCCAGAAAGGAAATAATTGACATTAATTCCGTTTGAAATCCTAGGATTAAAGCAATTATCATTCATTAAATGCTCTCTTTTTTTCTAATTCTAATGAAGAAAAAAAAACAAAACAGATACTATACATCACTTTATTAAGTACGGCGAACGTGCAAGTACAGGTGGATTTCCTGGAGAATGGCAGGGGAGGTTTCTTCTTAGAATAAAAAAAATTTAAAAAACAAAATTAGAATTGAAAAAATATTTTTAAAAAATTTTTTTAAAAAAATGTCATCAAGAATTACAAAAAGACAATTTAATTAATTTTAACAAGAATCAAATATAATAAATAAAGAATTTAAAATAATTCATAGCACTGGTCATTCTAAAACAGACTATAGGTCACTTGTAATTAATTTCTTTTGTTCTCTCCCTGCCCTTACCTGTACACCATTCCCACTTAGCCAAAACCAGTCACCTGTATCAATTTGAGAATTTTGGCTAAGTGGGAAGACACCTTAAAGGTCAACACATTGAAGATTATTTAAGCCCTTACGCAATAGATAATAGATAAAAATGTATCAGTAATTATACTTTTATTTGGGTGGAGGGGGGTAGGAGGATGCAGTCACATGGTAGTACCTTTAAAATCACGTAAACTGCAAGTTAAGGATTTAATACATGTGTATTGCACCTGTTGCGTGTATTGGTAGTAGCCGGTGTTAATGATAAAGGCCACCGAGAAACACCATAGGAAAAATTTAATGAAATTCTATGTAAAGTGTACCTTCCTTTTCCCTTCCGACAGAGAGAGAGAGATTTGTTCATCAACTTGGGACAAACCGCGACAAGAAATGATGTTTTGTCATAAGTATTACTATTCTTATTTACTTATCCATAAATACAAATAACTATGAAATGAAAATGTACTTATCGTATATAAATTAGCAGTAGTTCTTTAGCTTGCTGGCCTGAAAAATTTGAAATGGACGCCCAGAAAACTACAGTGCCACCCATATTTATTGCGCACAAAAATGCGCTGTTTCTCGATATATTTCTCTGTATAACAACAACTGTAGTCAGTAGATCCCCACCCCCTACATTAGCTAATGTTTATGATGGAAACTTGAAATAGGAACTTAGTGTAGTGTTCATTTTACAAAAATGAAAAAAAAAGAAAGTGACTAGATGGAATCTACGACATCTTAACTTAGGATATTCCTAAGATGCTTTCGTTTTACATCATAAGATAATCTTCAGATACTCCTAAGTCATGTCCTAAGAAATATTCTAAGACGTGTCTTAAGACACATCTTAGGAAATTTTCATAAGCATGCCTGCTGATTTGAATGGGCCTTTGAGATTGATCGTTTTCTCCAAACATTTTATTTATTTATGACGAATCGAAATGAATTTGTAAATAATACACATTTTCTCTATAACATTCAAACATTCAAAATGCAAAATTTACTGATTAAAGTGTAAATTTTACAGATTAAAATTCACAGACTTAAGTGATTTATATACAGATTAAATGTTATCATATTCAGCTTATTGTGTAAAATCCTTAGACTTACGTGTGGAAAATGAAAAATAAGGTTTCTAAATAAACTTCTCCATAATTCAATTTTTCAAAATATTTACATTTGCGATTGTTTTCCTGTTTTACTTTTATCTCGATGAAAAAACGTGTTATAATGAGATCAAATCTACCATAAAGCCCTTCTGGCTTAATGGGATTTGATCACATGACCAACGCGTATTTATAACCCAGATATTTAGATTACACATGTACATGTATTTTGCATATAAAGTGTGTGTAAAACTGCATTTATCTTTTTAGCCCCTTGTCCGTGTTATTCAAGAAAACGCGTACTTTATTTCTTAAATGTACGAAGTGTTTGTTAGTTTTCAGAACGAGCACAACGAACGAGCAGTGGAGAAATGATATGAAATATTATGAAGTAAGCCTCAATGATTCATAAAAGGAATATTTACCTTTCTACAACTTTTCTCTTCCACCACCACCCCAAGGTCGTAGTTTTTCTTGAGCATCGATCCATAAAATAGGTGACTGAAGCCCTCGGCACGCTGAAAAATAATGGTGCAAGTATATGAGTTCAAGTCACGGAATATACTACATATCGCATGTAATATATGCCAATTTTCAAGAGGTACAACACTCAAGATCATAAACGTATATACAACAGCCTTTAAGTAAAAATTTCAAAATACATGTATAATAAGTTTTGCAATAATTTTAACAATTAAAAATAATTGCAAATTTAAGTATTTGGTCTTGAGGCCTGTTTTTAGAAACATATCCAGTTTATAAAGATCAATGTGACGTCAGCACTATCGTTGCCTCACAGAAGAACGTTTCTAATTTTAGAAACTGCAGGTTTATAATAAATTTTTAAAATAGCAACATTCAGTCTTTAACACTTTCTATACTTGATCATGTGATCTAGTTTGAGCCAATCAGATAGTTGGAACAATAAAGAAAAATAATATTTTTGAAGCAAAATTTACTCAAAAACATTTACAAAGCTTTTTTTGAAAGAAAACTTTGGAAGAGGAAAATTCTTGATTTAGATTAAATTTAACAGTTTAAAATATCGACGTTTATTACTGACGTGACAATACAAGCTAAAAGACGATTAACAACTGAATTATGAGACAACTGGAATGATTTTAACTAGTCAATTTTCTCTATTTATTATCAACAATCTAGTATTACTTGCTCGCATATGGTGTTTACGGCTGGCAACCTATCCGGTACATAGCCTGAGCTACAGCAGATTGTTGATAAATAAGTTGATGTTTCGTTGTTTTCAACAATTTCATACTGTCTTTTGCAGTTCTGTACATGTATTATAAATTACTGTTCCCAATAAACGAGAGGACGTCGTTTTAGATCAATTTGTCTATTTATGGATTAATCCTTTAATCTGGTCAAATACACAAGGCTCATGGTACATGTACATGTAGACCAATGCTTATTCCTTATAGGCACCTGACTCCTTACTTGTGATTTGCTTCTTGCCTTGATTTAACAGCACGAGTTGTTCATTCCCTTCACTTCTCGAGTTGGGCTTGGGTATCCCTATATTCCATGGGTCTGATTAATTTAAATCTTGACCGTGTTACGTATCACTATTTTCTTAACGGTTTTTACTTGATTTACAGACTGGTTGTACAGGGTATCTGAACTTTTAGTGGTTTAATTCTTTTTACATGTCCCACTACTCACCTGACATTAAACAGACAGGTCGTATTCTGATTGTCCTGTACAGCAATCCCGGGGGTAATGCAAAAAAATACCTAAAAAAAATAACTACTATAGCTGAATTATGTCAGTTAAAAAGATGAAGTCACATTGTTATTATCAATGAGAAATCAAATATCAATATTACATATATACATGTAAGTCCATGAACTATAAACAGTAATCATGTAGTGTTTTAATGAAATCACTGCATGAGTGAATGAATCAGGGATTATATAAACAAGACATACTAATGTGTAGTTAAGTTTATAAAGATAACCTATTAGAAATTTTTTGCAATATATGCTATACAAGATACAAGATACAAGATTTTATTAATCCAATTTGGGCCCCCGGAGGAGCAAAAAGATTTACAAATAGGAGGAGGATCCAAATGATAGAACAAGCATGATGATGATATTACAAATAAAGAGCAATTGTTAAAAAAAACAAAAACAAAAAAAAGTATATAAGAGATATACTGAATATACATACATGTATCGTATTGTAAGTTACATACAAATATATATAATTTATACATATATATATATATATATAGTTAAAGGCAAGAAACTGGGAAAGAGGTATATAATTTTTTTATGCTTATCACAATATCTTCAATTAAGGTAAATTACTAAGGAATCCAGCAAGTGATCTAAGGATGTCTGGGTCTTCATTAGTCATGAGCCAATAAAATTGATTATTATAAGATAGAGACTGAAAATTTTTACATTTAATTTTACAAATATTTATGAGTTCAAGTCTTTGTACATTAAGATGAGGACATACAAGGAGAAAATGAATTTCATCCTGAATCTCGTTGTGATGACAAAGTGAACAAATTCGTTCCTCTCTAGGTATTTTTTGGTAACGTCCAATTTCAATTTTAAGCCTGTGGGCCGATATTCTTAACTTTGTTAAAACTGATCTATGTTGATTGTTTGTAAGAATATCTAGATAAGGTTCAAAACAAAATTTAGTCTTTATAAAACCTAATATAATATAAGCTATATAAAACCTGACTTACAAATGTTTGTTTTATAAACTCCTTTCTTCTACTAAATGATTTAGTTCAAGCTTCCTCATCACATGACTTAAAGTAATACTTGTAAACATATTTACTGCGTAAGATTTTCTTTATGAAATCCATCATAAGAATCTACATTACTTAATACCCTATGAAACACACTAAACCTTGTCACTGGCCATTGGCGTCGGAAGCAAATTGAAAGTGGGGGGGCTAAGTGTAAGAAAAAATTTTTTGTACCTCCAAAAAAAAACCTGACAAGCAAAAAGGGGGGGGGGGGCTAGGTTCGAACTCCAGTACCAAAAATTTTCTTCCAAATACCAACACTTTTCCCAATTTTAACCTATACTAAGACGGTATCTGTCGAAAGTGGGGGGCTAAACTTACGAAGATATGTTCAATGTCTATACTAAGTATATATTTGGAAAAAAAGTGGGGGGGCTAAGCCCCCCCTAGCCCCCCCCGGTTCCGACGCCTATGACTGCAAGGTAGAATACACAGCAAGATATGTATTTTTGACCCTCTCCGAGTCAATAAAACTTGAGGAATCCTCTATATATAAGACTGCAGCTCCCTCAGGGCTCCCCTACCCTTCACTCTATACCTGATCAACCTGCTGGGCTGTTAGTCGAGTAGCATCGAGGAGCCAAATTGTAGTAGTGTACATGTGATTGTTTATATATTTTGTGTCGATGCTTATGCTATTAAAGTGAGGAAAGTGATTCAAGTTGCTTTTAAGTCTTGTTCATGTTGGGTATAATCTACATGCGTTTAAAATCAATTTGTCATTCTTTCCCCTCTTAACATATCCAGTTGCGTTACTTAGAACACCAGTTCTGATATGCACTATTATATATATTTATGATGAAGAACAACGACAATAATGAAGAGTGTAAATTTCAGGACGTAAATATAAGTATTTTATTCAGTTTGGTCGCACGACCAGAAGTTATAGGATTAACGACATCAGGAAATAACAATTCAATGCTTGTAAACAATATCAAATGAATTTGTTCCCGTAAACTTGGCCTTTATCGCGATTTACATGTAGATATGATAATTGCGAGAATAGAACCTGGGCCCGATCAAAAAGCGATCGCCCTACCACAATGCCACATACGAATTGTATTACCGAGCTTGAAAGAAATCTTAATATACCGAATAAGTTTTCACCTTCTTTCTTGGGGATTTAAAATTCTTTATTTTTTAAGTTGTACTATTTTCAGATGTTTTGAGCTGTGTGTGTTTTTCAAACAATTTTAGCCCTATTTATTACCATATACATACATGTATAAATAACATACATGCAGGAAAGCAAGTTTCTACAAGGAAGGTGATATTAAAAAAAAACTTACCATGAACTTCATTTCCATGATGAGCATCACTGATAAAGTAAGCGATATCTACATAAAATATACATCCTAGTTAATGAACTTAACAGACACCGTTGCGGGTATTTGCAAGTTTTTGCAATACTCTTTTTGTGTTCCACGTGCAATTGCTCGCTATTCAATTTGAATGATTAATTCTCGAAAAGATGCTTAGAAAACAACAAACGCAATCTAAAGTGATCGATCACAAAATGTAACGAACAATATATTCCGTTTAATACATTTTACTTCGATCATTTATAGACACGTGCACAGGTTAATTAAGTTCTGACCCTTTTTTGCACAAATTCACAAAATTACCGACAAACAGGGAAAATGACCGATTCAATATTATCAATTCAAAGCTTTTGATTTAAAAACTTACCATCCCCTTCATTGTCACTGTCATTCCAACAAAAATAATTTTACTTCCGGGTTGGCGCATTTAAAGGGAGATTACCTTACTAATATATTTACATTTCTCACTCCACAAGACGAATAAAAGATTGACTACATTGAGTCGAGCATAAGATTAAGAATTGTCTAATACAGTACGTAACATTCTCAAGTCATCGTCGAGCTTATCCATTTGCACGCATGTTTTTTATAGAAGGATAGATTATTCACTGGCATTCCTTTATTGCGCAACTCCAATAAGTTGAAGAAATGTAGAGCAAATATAATATGATTTGACAAAAAGCGGAAGAGACATAAAAAGATTGTGTGCTGCGGAAGAGGTGTTAAAATCTATTTAAAAAATAACATTTACATGCAAAGAGACTTTTAGACCACTTGTTTACAAACAATTTAAAAGAGGTATGTAAACAAGTTCAAATTTAAGAATTTTTTTGTATTTTCTACTTCCCAAAGGATTTTCGTGAAACACGGACCTTATCAGAGGTGGAGTAAGGAGCCTGTCATGATCGGGAAATATTGGGAGAAATCTCAATATTTTATAGGTAAAGATTTTAATCTACTGCACTGGGACTACTACATTAGAATATGGTGTTAAGACCCTACCAGCATTAAAAAAAATTGAAAGTTTTATTCTAGAATATAAACTTGAAGGTAATTCTTTTTATTCCATATTCTCCTCCCTTTACAGAATAAAACCTAGAGGTTCTATTACAGCACTGAAGTCCCTAAATAATACCGTCTCCCATTTGATTATAATAGCAAAGTCCATGTTTCGCTCTGGGAAACCCGAAATAAATGAAACATATAAAATTAAAATAAGATGGCACTGCATACGAAAGATTCTGTGAAAGTTTCATTAAATTCCATTCAGTGGTAAAAGAGGAGTTGTGGATAAGAGATGAGTAACCCAAAGCGTAACAGTCGAACGGACATCCCGATCCACCTGATCACTATTTATCCTCTTACTTTTCAAACAGTGGTTATAAATATTCTGAGCAACCCTGTTGTCGTGAAGAAGAATTGTAAAAAGTTTATGCCAATTTTTTAATTGCATAGACCAGTAGGGCTAAAACTACAGAAAAAGTCATTCTGAGAGCAAAGGGAAAGGAGTGCCCGAGAGCCTGTCGCCATCTACTTTCAAAATTTATTCAAAGCGCCTTTTCATTTTACGCCAAAATAAGATTAAGTTTATTCACGTTATACAACTCTAATTTTATTTTTCATCTTCCTGTTTCAAATTGCGCAAAGTAACAAATCCAGGGCACGTTATCCTCAATTTAACGGACTTTATAATTGTGCTTGTTTAAGGCCAGGCAAAGTGAATGCCTTGGCTCTCAGAGCTTTTTTTTTCAAGAAATATGTTGAGGGAGGGTGTCTTTTTTAAAAACTTTTTTATTGCCCCCGAAATACTAGACTAAGTATGATGAGGCAGCTTTTTACATTGTACAAAACCTCAGAAAATGATGAGGGAGGTGATTTGTTGCTTTTATTATATTGATGTAGTAATAAACCTTGGAAGAGATGAGGGAGGGCCTGAGAACCTAGAAATTATAATTGTTATTGCCTAAAGTAGGGAATCCTAAGTACAATATATATATATTTAAGCTTCCTGAATCAAATATTCTCACTGACAGTTGTTTTTTTTCTTCCTCCTCTGTTTTAACGTAACTTTTAATTTCTTTTATTTCGGTTTCGACCAAGTATTGAAGTGCAAGTAGGGGAAACCCAGTTATGGATTTAATATGTACAAATTATTATTTTTTTAGAAAAATTTTCTGCTTTTTAAAAAACGTTAAAAATAACATTTAAAAGACACAGAAACATATTAGCATTACATGTTTTTTTAAAGTTAGTAATTATATCTTTTAAAAGGCATTTAAAACTAGAGATCCTTTGAGCACTGAGCTCACTAATTCATACCTCGCACGAATGGCAAAGTTCATGTTTTGCTCTGGGAGACCACAAATAAAGGCAAAACCAAAAGGTCAAATAGGAAGTACACAATAGGACTATGAACTAAAGGATCTGTGAAAGTATTTTCATTCAGTAGTATATAAGGATATGTGGATAAGAAATCAGTATAACCTTCGGTTAAATAGAAAGAATGGCAGTGACCATGTTTTGCAATGGGACAATATGTGTTTGATTCTGTGAATCATTTATAGGTATAAGAGGAGTCCTTCTTACTCCGAGATTTTTAATTATTTCCTGGGCACCTAAAAGCTCTTTGCTAAGAAAATCGATTAAGATCCCGATTTCCATGACAGAGTTCATTTCATTTGTATAGTTCTCTCTTTTTTCTCCAAGAAAAAAATACACGAATACAATAGCACAACAAATCAATTTCCACTTTCCAATTGATTATATAATTAAGGTTATTTAAGTAGCAGCTTGACAACAAAAATGAAATACATATAATATATTTAAGGACCCTCTCTACACAAGTGCAAATATTTTTTTAGACATTGAGAAAAATATATTGTATAAAGGAGTTAATATTGAGCTTATTTATTTTATTTTCACTGTATGGTGCGTGGCATTTACCCCCGGGAAAAATGTTCAAAGACAACACAGTATCAGTGAATAGAAATCACTGTTAATTACTTCAATAGAGAAAATACATGTAAATAACACATTCAGTTAATTTATCATGGCTTTTAAAATGTTAAGAATACTAGAACTCATTACAAGTTGAGAAATATATTGTAAATTTCTATTTTTTAGAATTTGTATCTAAGGGCAGATCACTCTAACTGCAGAAAATACCTTAGAATCAGAACTCTTTAGTGTGCAGTGTAGAGAGGGTTCTTAAAGCTACTTAGTCTTCAAAACATATTACAAAACTGCCTTACTACATATTAGACAATTGCATCGTTGAAGAACAAATTCACGAAGCTTGCAAATTACATTGTATCTGAGTAAAGCAGAATATTTCTAAACATTTTTTTCCCGAGTCACATGATTATAAAACGTAGGACATGTATGAATCAGAAAAAAAATATAGATGTGAAGAATGTATATCACACTAACACGCCCAAATATTACTCATTATAAGAGTAAATCAAGTGTTCGATGTACATTACATGCACGTTTCAATCAAGCATTAGACAGAAGGTTCACTAAGACTGACGCAGCTTTCATACGGAGGAACGAAGCCTTCATACAAACAGAACAGTCATACAGACAGATAGAACTTCCATACAAACATATCAATCAAATATGGCGTTACCAGATAAATTCATACACTATCGATGCTATGAGAACATAAAAATATTCCTCAGAAATTCTTATTTCACGCCCAAAGTGGAATTCCAGATCTCCTGTTTTTCCGCTGGAATTCCCGCCAATTTTTTCTTCAGTTCTATGTCTGCCGCTGGCGTCCCGAACATGGCTTCCCCTAGTCCAGAGCTGATTTGCGCCAAAGTGGCAGGTTCCTTGTAATGCGTGACAGCCTGCGCCATGGCTAGAGCGCGTACCGGCGGGTTACTGCTCTTAAAGATTCCGGACCCCACAAAGACTCCATCTACACCAAGCTGCATCATAAGTGAGACGTCGGCAGGGGTCGCTGTAACATGCAGTGAAATTTTAGTCTTAAAATAAGTTTACTATGTTCTTGTGTCTAAGTAAATTTGGCATAGAAATACGAGGATATGAAAGTTTTATAGATGTACGTATGTATTTAGGTATACCTAGTCCCCCAGCAGCAAAATTGACAACAGGAAGTCTGCCTAATTCCGCCGTTTTCTTCAGCAGCTCCACCGGAACTCGGAGTTCTTTTGCGTAATTGTAGATTTCAGTTGAGTCCATGGCCTGAGCCATTTTAATCTGTTTGCTGATTGTTCGTGCGTGTTTTACAGCCTGTGAAACGTCACCTATGGAATTACAATTTTAAACATTAAACTATTAAGATAGATTTAAAACATTAAGGTCCACTGAAGTGTAGTACATTATGAGATTGTTGTCATTGTTGAAAAGTTCTGGGGGAGCAGTGGACTTTTACAATGAGCGCTGACTTTTACAGTTAACGGCTTACTTCTACACTAGGACAATGTATCTAAGCTCTTTTACGATATAAATATTTATCTCGCCTTTACTCCCGGCCTTCACATGTTAACACCCCTAACACCATACTTGTGACCACTAGAAATATGTTGTTATCTAACATCAATTCTGTACATCCGTAAATGATACATGTTTAAATGTCAAAGTAAACCGTCATCTGTAAATGTCAGCCCTTCTCGTAAAAGCCCAGTAAGAAGGATTTTATGATCTAGCCTTTTTCAAAATCTACAATGTTCGAAAAATTAACTCTGGTTCGGAAAGACGCAGATCGAAATACTAATTCGGAGAGAAAGATACGTTGAAGCGTGGGTGCATTTTACAAGTATTTATTACTTAATTTTTGCAAATATCTTTCTCTAATTTTTAGTTCTTAGTTTGAATACATTAATTTAAATTTTAATTCAACTACCTGTCCCTGCTTCTCCTTTCGTCCTTATCATGGCGGCACCTTCTGAGATTCTCCGTAAAGCCTCGCCCAAATCTCGTGCTCCACACACGAACGGGACTTTGAAGTCGTGTTTGTTGATGTGGTTTACTTCATCTGCTGGGGTTAGTACTGATGGAGAAAAGGTATCATTAAAAGAAATTAAAAACAAATCAAAATTATCCAGAAATTCAACATCAAAAGCTTAATCAAAATTAATGGCACATATCCTTACAAAGGCTTTGCTAGCACTAGTGGTTTCTGAAATACTGACATTCGAAGTTACTTGCATTGTAAGGGATATAAATACAACACTCCGTTTAGATCGATTTCTTACACATTGATTTTTAAACGGCATTTACTTTAAAATTCAAATCACACAAATCAGAGTCCATCTGGAAAATCTATAACTGCTGTATACCTTCAGACTCGTCGATCATATCGACTCCAAGAGATTCCAGGATCTGGGCCTCGGCAAAATGACCAATCCTCGACTTCGCCATAACAGGAATAGTTACGGCAGCAATGATTTCTTTGATTAACTATAACATAAAAAATCATACTCAGAATTAATGACGGCGAAAATCTTTTCTATGTTCTCTACCGTGATTATATTACAAAGGGGAAAAGGTCAAAGGAGCCAATGCAAATAGCAGAGAAAAGGTAAGAACTTATTTACCGGTAATCAATCATTTTATTAAATACAATTTACAAATGTAAAATCTACCAGAAGGGCAGGAATATTAGTAAACCTGTGAAATATCAATAGATTGATTTTGTGTGTAATGATCTATCAGCTGTACAGAATAACCAGACACCTGTGTTAGGAGTTTTTTACAGGGGCATCAGAACCATTACCAAAGAACAAGAGAAGTGGGCGTACGCCCAGCTCCAGGATGAAAAAACTGATTGAGTTACCTTGGGATCTGTCATCCGGGCAACTCCTCCTTGACGACGAATATCAGCTGGAACTCTTTCTAAAGCCATCACAGCACAAGCCTAAGTGTTTATAGATTAATTATTACAATATTTCTCATTCTACACCTAAGTACCAATTTCAAATTTAGAATGTACGACTACAAATATAACTTGTAAATTGATGTATCAGTATAATTATACACTGAATGGATTTATCTTAAAATGATTGCATTTGACGATCATCATAACATTACCCCCGCCTCCTCGGCGATGCGTGCTTCCGCCGCTGTCGTGACGTCCATAATAATCCCTCCCTTTGCCATCTGAGCAAGACCAGCTTTGACCTTGAATGTACCTGTAGAATACACCAAGCTAGCTACATGTAAAGAGTTACTTAAAATTCTTATGATTCATATATTTACGAGCGGAACTAGATATTCCAGTACAAAGTATACTTCCCTTTCATTCAATGAGAACAGGAAAAGACACATATATTGAGATCAATAAATAAAAAATAAGGACTAGACGATTATCATTAGATTCGACTAATCTGATTATTATTATGAATGAATAAAAGTTTCATTCCTTTAAGGATAGATGATACAAACAAACTTTTGTCAAAGAATTTGAAAAATAACAAGTTGGGTCATGTTTAAATGTGCAAATTTAATAACTTTCACCGCGTAGTTTTTAATTTTTTATTCAAATTTGCACAAAAAAGGAATTTGAAGTGAAAAATATTTGTATAGATTAATAAGGATGGTTTCAGAAGTGCATACTTTTGAACATCACAGAAGGTTTACAATTGCTTTTATTTTCTAGAAATTTATTATTTGCATCATTTGCAATGAAATTAGGCCAAAAAATATATACCAATCCAAACATCCATTTTTTGTTTGTATCATCTGTCCTTTCAGATTAACCCCACATTGCCTGGGAATTTCTTTCCAAATGTTCTCTAAATTACAAACATTTTCTTTTCATTTTTTTCACCCCTTAACTTGCAGTTACGTCTAGATCCGAAATAAAATCTTCACTTTAATATCTATTACTTGGATTTTATTAGGTTTTTTTTTTTTTGGGGGGGGGGGGGGGTCGTAATATGTTTATAGACTATTTTATGCTGATACTTCCGAGAAAATTGGCAGTTGAAGGAGACTTTGAATTTAGAACATGAAAAGTTTTGCATTTACTTCCACGTGCACATATTAAAATTTAAAACATTACAAGACAATAAAAAAGTATAAATTCATAAAATATACTTTTGGATATTTTAGGTAGCTGTAAATACATGTACTGTTAGTATTTAACTCGCTGGAAAGAAGGAAATCGATCCAATGCCATTATTTTCTTATAATTGTTCGTAGAAGTGGGTCTGAAATGTGTAATATTATACATGTATGTC